GCTGCCCCTTCTTGGACTTTTTTGCCTTCTTCACCTTACCCTTTTTACCAGTGCCACTGGCAGAAGCCTTCTGGGCTTCAGGTTTCTTCTCTTTAGTGTCTGGCTTCTCAGTTTTTTCCCCCGCCATCTTGCAAGATGGGAAAGAGAACTCTGTCACTTTAGTTTTGTTTCTTAGAGGTTTATGTAGATGGAGTTATTATCGCAGAGTGCCAGGTGACAGTTGTGCACCACCCGGCTGCTCTCGCGTCGTGTGGGACCCTGATGCCTGCCAGCCTAGGCGTGCTGGCCCAGACAGCGCGTGTGGTGTGCTGTTGTTGCTACACTGCTCCTTCTTTATACTCACAGGCTTAGAGTGGTTACTGGAGTGATGCAACAAGTGTCCGCAACTTTATTACTCTTTTTCAAAATTATGTATTTGAGCTCTTTTTTAAAAACCTTATTATAGGGGCCGGGGAGATGGCTCAGTGGAAATAAATGCTTTCCTGGCAAGCGCAAGGGTCTGAGTTCAATCCCTGGTTCTGCCAAAAAACAAAAATAAAATAAAATAAAATAAAAACCTTATTATACAATTAAAAAAAGTTTGTTGATTTGTTCAGAAAGAACCTGGATATTTTGATGGGGATTGTGCTGAGCCCGTAGGTTACATGGCTTGATAATGAATCTTTATAACGCTGTATGTCTCTTACCTCTGCTCTTAATTTCATCAGAACTTTACTGTTTTTAATATACAAGTCTTGTGCTTTTATTTGTTTATTTTCTTGAAATGGTCACACTATGTAATGTAGGCTGGCTTTGAATTCAACTATGTAGGCCTGGTAGGTCTTAAACTTGTGGCCATCCTCCTGCATCAGCCTCCCGAGTGCTGGAATTACATGAGTGTGCTACCAAGCTCAGCTGTCTTGGATGTGTTTTATAAGATTTGTATCAGAAAATTTTGGTGTTACTATGAAGGGTATTAGATTTTAAAATTTTATGGTGTATTCATTGCTAGTATATGGAACTGCAGTTTTTAAAAGTATACTTTTTTTTTTTTTTAAACTATCATCACACTTTATTTTTTTTTTAAATTTTATGTGTGTGTGTGTGTGTGTGTG